TCATGATAACCCCCATTCCTCCCAGCAGACATGAGTAACCCTCGAAAACAACAAGCTCAGTCCACTTTTTAAGGGAAAAAAATAAAAACCAAAATCTAGGGTAATCAATACGAAATCATCCAATAACACGCAATCAAAACATCCAAACCAAAGAAAAGTATCATATCTTCTATTTTCGTGCTGAGCAGCTCGAAGATAATCAGATCAATAGAAATTAAAAGCAAAAGACGAAGAGGATAAACCTAGAAATATTGGTGAAAATTTTTCAACGACGCATGGATTTTCCTCAAATCTCTCAGCTAAATCAAGAGATTAAAGCGAAAATTGAGAGTATCTAAGGCTTCCGATGAAGAAAAAACATGGACGTAAAAGATGAAAGTCAGCGATCGCTAGTTCGCTAGGGGGAATAGAGATAAAGAGGGTTTTCGATTTGTCGAAATATCGAGAAAGCGAAGGCCAGAAAGGTTCTGTGTAACGAAACGCGGTGTTTTATTTTATTTTTGGGTAAACAACACTGGTCACTAATGTTTATAAATTTCATTTTTTATCATTTGAAGTTTAGAAAATTACATTACAATAACTAACAATGATCACTCTGCCATCAACTATGTTAAATTGTTAATAAGAAAAATTAAATCAACAATCAGTTGATCTAATGAGATGAAGTAAAATTCTAATCTATTTCTCCTTTACTTCAATTGACCAACAACGGATTCCGTCGTCTTCTACTCCTTTCCCATCAGATTTAGTAACAAATTTTATGGATTGAAGTAGGTTAATGCAAATCAACTCCCGCAAAATGCCATGCATCTTGTATTCATTAGGATGTGATTCACAACTCCAAATTCAAATGAAACAATGCCTTCTTTTTGGCTGCATGAAGTACAGTAGTTCTTCCAACAATTCTCTGTAGCTCATAGAATCTAGGTTGATCGTCGGATCGATTTTCCTTGCAATATATGAGTTCTTTCATCATGAGCTTGAATCAGTCCATGACAATATATGTTGTGATCTAATATTTCAGACGCAACAATTAAAATATTAGTTGAAAACTTGATTAAAGTCACGATCTTTGAAGCTCTTGATCCATCAAGGTGATCTAAACAAACTAAAATAAATAAATAAATATATGTTTTTATTATTTTATTGTCCTGATGCAACAAAAATAGAAATAAACAATATTTTTAATTAGTTTTTAAAAAGATATGGAGATAGAAGGTGACTTTGTTGTCGTGTTTTAATTATTAAAATATAAATTATCAGTGAAGCTAAATATAAATAATGGAGAAGACCACAAATTCAATCTACTCCGGGAAGAAATGGAATGCAAGAGGTTTGCTCTACTTTTGATTAGTATGGCGGTGGTGCTTTCAACCACGGCGACTCCGACTGTCACCGCCGTTTGTAACCCCTTCTCTATCATCACCCAAGCCTACATTTTCTCGATCGACAAGCAACGCCAAAGGCTCGTATTGCTACAGTTTTTGATCGTTGCAGTGGCATTTGTTCTCGTTTGTTGCTGATCCTACTCACCCGGGAAGGTGTTCCAATGAGGATATTGACTATGTTTGATGTTGAATAAATCATGCACCAATGTTCGTTGCTTTTGTTCTTATAAAACTTGGGTACTGGGTACTGGATGCGGTTTGGTCATTGCTCTGTTTTTGCTCATATGCGGTTGTGTGTGTTTTGTTGATCTCTTTTCTTGTATTACTTGTATCAAAATTGAATATCATTTTCTCTTTTGGTTGTCTCTATTAAACTTCGATTGAAAAAAAAAATCTAAAAAAATTTTATTTATAAAAGTTCGATTATAGGTTGTCTTATAAATTATGTGTAATTGAGCAGATTAAGTGACTTCAGTGGTTAAAGAGATGTTGTTATTCTAAAGATTCTAGGTTCGAACACGGATTGCAAGGATTTTGAACATTATTATTAAATGATTGAGAATCTTTTAAATATGTACTACCTTATAATCACTCTAAATTAATTAAAAAATTATATGTAATTGAGGCAGATAATAAATTAAATTGATAATTATAAAAAAAATTATGGTATAGATTAATGGAATGTAATATGGAAGTGCACATGGAACCTGAAGAGCCTTTTAATTTAAAAAAAACATAAAAAAATGAACATATCCATATCTTTTTATTGCTTAATGACAATAAAATATAAAATATGTTGTCCATATCTTATTCGATAATTGTATATTTCTAAAATGGACAAACTATATTGGCGACCCCTTTTGCTTTTAGAATATCTTATTTTTGTTATCAAATTTTAAATATTTAAGTCACTTTTGTTTTGATTTGTCTTTTTTGGTTATTGGGTTGTTAGCGCTCGTTAATTGATTGGTGTGACATATCAGTAACACTAATTAAATTCTATTTTGACTCCTTTAGATATAATATTAATTGGACCCAAATTTACATAAAATACTAAATTTATCTCCTAAATTTTAAATAAATATCAATTTAACACTCGAATTAAAGTCTCCATCATCAGTAGTCACTCTTTTTCATCGAAATATCTCGAATACCACAAACCTATATATACCCATTCAATTCTTTTAAAAGTAAATTGTAATTATAAATATATCACTATATTCCTTTAAAATAAAAACACAAAAATCTAAATCTATATTATATACATTATATTATAATGATAATAATTTGAATATATAATATTATAAATTATATATTACATGTTTTATCTTTATTTTTCTCAATATTTCATGTATTATATGATACTTCAAATATAATTATTTGTCTTCAAATATAAATTGTATAATTAATCAACATTTTAAAAGAAATTTAATCGATGATTTTATTATATTTTCGATAATATCTCTAAATTTATTTTCTTAAAATAATAACAATAATAAAAAAGAATTAAAATTGCTTCTACAAAACTTGCATCCTGCCAAATTGCTACATCCCATCTCCACTTTCCTGCAGCACCTTGGCTCTCTTTGTTATGGCTCTCATAGACTCGCTGTTGCTGTTCTTCAATTCTCTCGATTCAAACCCATCCCGTTACATTGAACACGCCTTCAACGCCTTCTTCTTAGTTAATGTGATGCCTATTGTTCGTCGATCCATCTTTTTCGATATCCATGTTTCTCCAAAAGCCAGGCGAAACGTTTAACAAACAACTTGGTTTAGATTAGGTAGACTTTCCCAATCATGCGGCAATCGGTGATGGTTAGCTCTTGAAGACCAGGCATCACTCCTCTATCGATCACGATTCCTTCAATCGAGGGCATCCCCTAATTCTTAAATCTTAAGCTTTTGGAATCCTTCAATGAAGCATAGTTTCTCTCCCTCGAATGCATTTAGCATGGAGAAGTATCCTAGATTAGGCAATGCTTGGATTTGAGGAAGAAATCATCCCTCAATCTAGACCACGTAAATACAAATGTGTGAGGCTGTAGAGCGAGTTAAACCAGTGTTGGTATCTTCTCCAATTTACCAGATAACATAAGTCTCAAGGTCAGGGGGCTGATTCAAGTGCATCCATCTTCAGTTGCTCAGCTTCGTTACATGATTTCACCAATAAGGATCGAAGGTGTATCGTCTTCGCAACGGCAAAGCACGATTTTTCTCATCGGCTTCCTTTACATTGGCGACTCCAAGTTCTCAATTGTCATTTTTCCAAGTTGTTTGATGAAATCGCTCATGCTTACACTAAGGTCAAAACTGTAAGTTGTTTAGCAAACAATGTTGGATGGTACTACTGTGCCAAAGACAAAGTCAAATGCCCTTTGGTTTACATTGTAATAATAAGCATTAGATGCCGAAGATTTTTTAGCTTCACAATTCCTGCAGGAAGCTCTTTGATTTGGGTTTCCTTCATAACTAAAGACTGTAAGTTGTAAAGCTTCCCGATGGAATTTGGAAGCTCTTTCACTTGAGTTCTTGTTAGGTTAAGATATCTCAAATTGAATAAATTCACCAAGTCATCTGGGAGTTCATTGATTGGTGTGTCTTCTAAATCCAACACTCATCAATTTAAAACCAGATGGCCGCCTGTTGAATGATGATTTAGAGGTTTCAGTAACAGCAAAAACAACAATGACTAACCCGATAATGCAGCTTTGCTTGCAGCTTTCATCTCTTCTCTTTGCTTCGATCGACCACCGGGGTTCCATCGTCTTCTACTTCTTCCATCCCATCAGATTTGGCAACAAACTTTATGGATTTTGAAATGGACACCGCAAACTCACGCAAGATGTCGTGCATCTTACATTCTTTGGCCTTCCTGATCCATTCCTACTTACAACTTGAAGCAGGCCTCTGCAAATCAACTCTGTTAGGTATCTTTCTGCAACAACTTCAGGAATTGATCCCTTACACGGTTCAATAAGCCCTCAGCCATCCAAGTCTAACGAGCCTTTTCCGTTTGATCACATAATCTTCTGGGAATATGCAACAAATAGAAAACATTGCTAGACTGTAAGACAAATCATGATAGCTAAGAATGAATATACTTGAGCCTCTTAAAATATGTATCATTTCTCTTAGCTCCCGATGTAAGTTGTTATAAACTCCATTCCATTCACAATTGAGTTCTTGGAAGCCATCAAACCGCCCAAAGCCACAATAGCAATGGCAAGCCTTCGCACTTTGCAACCAGCTTACTTGCTGAAGATTCAAGATATGGCGGGCATTGTCCACCCTTGCCAACAAAAGCTTTCTTGCACAAAGGGCCAGACTCTCATCAGATGGCAAGGGTTTCAGCCGAAGGATGTTGTTTACAGTTCCAGATTCAAACGAGGCAACGTCTTCCTTTCGTGTTGTGAGCAAGATTCGGCTTCCATTCCTATTGGCAGGCAATGCTATGCTGATATCTTGCCAAAGTTGGTTGCTCCAAACATCATATATCACAATTAGATATCTCCTTGGCTCCAAGAAGCTCACTAGTGCCTCCAGCAATTCTCTATAGCTCAAGGAGTCTAGGTTGATTTTCGGATCGATTTTTTCTTTCGCCTTGCGTAGAGCTCTTTGATCATGGACTTGAATAGGTCTGTGACAACATATTGTTGTGAGACGGTGATCCAGGCACAACAATCGAAATGTTGCTTGACAACTTGCTTGTTGAAAGTGTTGGCGATCAGAGTTGTTTTGCCTAAACCACCCATCCCGACACAGAAGTCATGGTCCTTTGAAGCTCTTGACCCAACCACCCCAGTAACTGCTGTTGTGCCTTATCAATCCCAACGAGATCATCATCTTTAAGAAAAAGAGCAGATTCACTCAGATTTTTCACCCAGTTATTACGATGATTCTCTCCACCAAGTTGATCACTAATTTTCTGATTCCGAACAAAAAACTCGGTATCGTTGGTTTCTCTCTGCAATGCTTTTGATCCTCTTGTTGATAGCTTGTAACTTGACAGCTACTCGATGCCTGACCATCATATTCTTGGGAAATTGAATGAGCTTCAAGAAAAACCTAGAGGGTTTACCCCTCCATTGTTGCTTGTTGAAGTGGTACATGAATTGTCGACGACATCTTCAACTTCACAGGCAATGTCTCTGATGCTCGCTATCCACTGATTATCTATTTCATTGCTTGCCACTACTGATCTTCCCTCAGAAACCTCAAGGAAGCGTAATGGCCTGAGCTCAAGCTTGATTTCATCGATTTCAGTTCCAACCTCCGTTAGCAACGAGGCTTCATTTTCTAATACGAAGATGATCTGCTTGTTATTGGATCTATAGAGCTGATAACTCCATTGGCTGAAAAAGTTCCAATTAAAAAGGAGCAGAATAGTTTTTTTCTTCTTCAAGGAAACAAAGGCTTGACAATATCTATCTTCTTGTTTGGGATGGAAGACGGCCACGGTTGCTTGTAAAGACAACGATGGAAGACAAGCCACGCAAACCATGTACTCTCATTGTTGCTATCGCCTTTGTGGGTACTGAAGCAGTTGCAGAGTAATCAAAGCGGTGGGAACCGCAGCGACCAAGCGCTTCACATGGTTGGTAATGGTGTTGAAGTTGTGGAATCGAAGCTTCTCTTTTATTTATATGGAAGACTTTATGTTCTTAAAAAAACAACGCTAATACATTGATTTCCACAAAATTTTAAGAGGTATATAGTTAAAATTACTTAATTTTTTATTTCTCCAATTATAATATTAAATTTAATTTAATTTTAATTATATCACTGTACATTGATAGATTTTGCTATTGTTGTTATGGCTTGGAAAAAATGGTGTCAATTTTGAAGTGATTATTGATTCTATCATTTTAAACATTGAACTTTAGTGGGGTATTGATTTTAACACTAAAAATTTAAATAGTTCACTTTTTTACATTTTTTCAAACGCGGTTGACAGCCAAATGTCGCCCATCAATCACCATGTAAGATCGATAAAAATATTCACATTCTACTCATATTTCTTCTAATCTGATTGATTTTTCACGAAACTCACCTAAAATTGATGAAAATCTAAATTATTTCAAGAAGGCGAACAACATACTTCAAAACTAGGTAATTAAATAGTCACCGGAAGAGATCGAAGTTTTAGCACGTCCAACCATTTCATCTATTTGGAGTTATATAAATGTTTACGGGTAATGCTATTGAATTTGACTTCCTACAGGAAGCTCTTTCATTTGCGTCGCCTTCATAACTAAGGACTGTAAGTTGTAAAGCTTCCCCATGGATTTTGGAACTCTTTCACTGGGTTCTTATTAGGTTAAGATATTTCAAATTGAATAAATTCACCAATTTATCTGGGAGTTGATTGATTGGAGTGTCTTCTAAATCCACTCTCATCGCTTTCTCCTTTGCTTCAATTGACCAACGATGGATTCGTCTTCTACTTCTTCCTTCCCATCAGATTTCGCAACAAACTTTACAGATTTTGATATGGACACCGCAAACTCCCGCAAAATGTCATGCTCTTACATTCTTTAGGCCTCTCGGATCCATTCCTACTTACAACTTGAATCACGCTTCTACAAATAAACTCTGTTAGGTATCTCTCTGCAACAAATTCCGGAATTGATCCTTTACCGGTTCAATAAAGCCCTCAGCCATCCAAAGTCTAATGAGTCTTTTATGTCTGATCACGTAATCTTCTGGGAATAGGAAACATTGCTTTCTTGAGACTGTAAGACAATCATGGTAGCTAAGCAATGAAATATACTTAGCCTCTCAAATATGTATCATTTTCACTTAGCTCCCGATTTAAATTGTTGTAAACTCCATTCCATTCAGCAATTGAGTTCTTGGAAGCCATCAAACCGCCCAAAGCCACAATAGCTAATGTCAAGCCTTTCACATTTTGCAACCAGCTTTCTTGCCCAAGATACAAGATATGGAGGGTATTGTCCACCCTTGCCAATAAAGCTTCCTTGCAAAAAGAGCCAGACTCTCATCAAATGGTAATGGTTTGAGGCGATGTATGTGGTTTACAGCTCCAAATTCAAAGGAAGCAACGTCTTCCTTTCATGTTGTGAGCAAGATTCGGCTTCCATTCTATGGCAAGCAATGCTATGCTGATATTTTGCCAAAACTGGTTACTCCAAACATCATCTATCACAATTAGATATCTCTTTGGTTGCAAGAAGTTCACTAATCACTAGTGTCTCTACCAATTCTCTATAGCTCATGGAGTCTGGGTTGATTGCTGGATTAATTTTTTCTTTCACCGTGTCATAGAGCTCTTTGACCGTGGAGTTGAATAGTTTTGTGACAACATATTGTTGTGAAACCGAAATGTTGCTTGGCAACTGCTTGTTGTGTTGGCGATGAGAGTTGTTTTACCTAAACAGCCTATCCCAACCACGGAAGTTGTGGTCCTTTGAAGCTTGATCCATCGACCATCCCAATAACTCCCATTGTGCCTTATCAATCCCAACAAGATCATCATTTAAGAAAAAGGGTAGATTCACTCAGATTTTTCACTCAGTTATTACGATGATTCTCTCCACCAATTTGGTCCTTAGATTTTCTTGATTTCGAACAAAAACTTGGTATCGTTGCTTTGGTTGATAGCTTGTAACTTGACAGCTACTCGATGCCTGACCAAAGATTCTTGGGAAAATGAATAAGCTTCAAGAAAAACCTAGAGGGTTTACCCTCCATTATTGTTGCTTGTTGAAGTGGTACATGAATTCGTCAACGACATCTTCAACTTCATAGGCAATGTCTCTGATGCTTGCGACCCACTGATTATACGTTTCATTGCTGGCTACTACTCTTGAACTTCTGTCAGCATCGTCCAGGAAAGCTTTTATGGCGTTGAGCTCAAGCTTGATTTCATTGATTTCAGCTCCAACCTCTGTCAGCAAAGAGGCTTCATTTTCTAAAACAAAGACGATCTTGGCTGTTATAAGATTTACAGCGCTTGATAACTCCATTGTTTCAAGCAAAGTTCTGATTCCAAATAAAAAATTTCAAGTTGACAAAAGCTTGACAACGATGTGATGTATATATCTGCTAATGAAAAACAAGTTGGCATGAAACACAAGTACCTTGTAGATCATGCAGGCACCAAATCAGTTGACTATTAAATGTAATTGACGTCGGCGATACTAATTGCTTTATCTGTATTCCTTTCTTGAACTGATGGGTTTGTATCCATTGCTTTCAAACAACAAGGATTGAAAAGGAACATGGAAGAAGCTGTGCAAATGTTCAAAACTGCAGGTTGAAAGGAGCTTTGACTTGGGTGGAGGAGGAAGCATTGGGTTGATGGGACTGCTCTCTCAAGCTGTATTTGGTGTTGGCATCTCCTCTCTTTCATTGTAGCTGCCCCTTCTCTTGCCAAGGGGAGGTGCAAATCAACACTATTTGTCCTATAGTTGGAACTAAACATAATTTCAGTTGGGCTTCACTTGCAGAAAATTTTAAAAAAATTAATGTTTTTGATGTGCTTTTTTATTTGAATTATTAGAATAAAAAAAGAAGTTGAAACTTTTTGAAAGCAAAAACTTATGCTCCAACGCGAAAAACCATGTAGGTTTCATGAATTTGAGACAGATTCAATAAGATTCTATCTTTTTGGGGATAAGTAGATCCTTCAAAACCCCTATTTTCAGAAGTTGATTAGAAATAATTACACATCAAAATCAATCATTAATCAAAAGGAACATTAACCCTTAATACTCATTGTAATACACTTAAATTTTAATAATTTCAATATATTCATATGGTAATAAACTTATGCATATCCTTAAAATGTAGCGGTCAAGGGGCTAAATCAAATGCTAAATGAATCTTGGAATTGAAAGCAAATTTTAGGCTCCCCTTTTTACTCATCTCATGATATCAGACAAAATGGAAGTAAAAATTATTTAAACAAAAACAAGGCCACCGTCCCCAACTAAGTTTAGGATATGTCTACTCTGAGCCAGACGTAGAACCATCTTGTTCCCATTACAAAGGGTTTTCCTCAATCAAAACATGGACCGGTAACTTGTCCTCCTCCGTGAAACCGAGGTCAAAATTGTTCATTTTTCCTTTCAAGCCAATCAAACCTCGGGAACTTGCAACTTACCGGCAACAGCTCGGTCCATTCAATCATGATGCTCATGGAATTTTGAGAAGGACCTTCAGTCTTGAACCAACCTCCACTCATCAAGGGACAGATCATCCTATAAACAATATTAAGTTAGACGATCTAAGCCAATAAAATCCAATATAAAAGTAATATGTAGGCTAAGAACAATGAGATCAAGTAGAGCTTCGCAAGATATATAACTTACCCTATAATTAGCTTTGAGAAATCGATTGATCTCCTAGAAATATGACTAACAAGCTCGTCTTCAATCTCAAAGTGCCTTCCATACATTTTCTGTTGCTCCTCGGGATTAGATCCAACTATCTGCAACAACACAAGCAAAAAAACCAGCAAATATGTTACTCGGACTTGGGTATGTTCGATAGCTCTCATATAAGTCAGATTATGGAGTTAGAAACTCTAGTGCCAGAGTATTGTACGGGATTAACAATTCATGTTCATTGGCGTGTTCTATAAATGTTCACTGAGATTCACATTTACCTTATTGACATAAGATTAATAATATACTGCTAATCAGACCTAATATTGATGCATCGGATACTTCAAAGCTAAAGGGTGATGGCTTTAGGCAAACTCGATAAAGTTTATAATGAGATTTTCCTCCAAACTTGGGAGGAAAACAGGGGGAAAAATCTCATTTTCTATACTCCGGCGGAAAAATGGACATGGAATCAGAGACATGATCATATTGTCATATCCACTTGGTCAAATGAAGATTAGGAAATCAGTTTACACTTAGAAGGTAATGAAATATTTAACAGTCCAAGAAAGAAATATCATACCTTAATGGCCACCTTCTGGCCTTTCTTAGCAGAATCAACAGGTTTATGGTTATTTTCAATTGAAGCTATACGGCCAATATCAATGAATTCTCTTTGAGGAATACAAATCGGGGGCCAACCTGCAGAATAAAGATAGAGAACCGCAATACATTAACACTGATACTGAATTTAACAACGAAAGTCCATATGATAGATCTTCCTCAGGTTTCTGCTTGCTTAAATAAGTAGCTTTAGATTCGGATTTGAGCAGCAAATGCTGCCAGGCAACCACACAAGTATGCTTACCAACTAAAAATTGTTCAAGTCATGGCTGCTACGCACATTAGAAAACATATTACCAGTATCTGTGAATATTTTGGTTATACGTCACAAACATTCCAATTGCTAAAAATATGTTCTTAGAGCAACATTAAATATGTCAAAATTATGAGCTAGAGATTTTCCAGAAACCTAATGATCGAGTACTTCTATTTGTAAATGCTCTAGCTAGAATGCAGGCTCAAGGGTATAGAGATGGTTTAGAAACTTATCCAAAAACTTCCTATAAGTTTATGTAGTAATCAGTATTAGCTACAAATTTAAACAATTAATTAGGAAAGTATTACTTAATGAGTTGATAATAGTTGTACCCTTAAAATGCCTTCAAGGATATCCACCCCCAAGACAATTGGATCCTTCTTGTTAAAAATGCAATTAGGTAAAATCTTCAGAACACAAGGGAAGACAGCTTCATCTGCTGCTTCTCTTTTCCTCTCCTCTTTGAGACCATTGATATATCCTTTGAATTGGTCGAATAAGTGATAAATGATATCAGCCAAAAAGATCCTCACACCAAGTTCATCTGCTAGTTCTCTAGCCTCCGGGGTCACCTTGACATCAAAAGCCAATATGGTAGCATACTCCTTTTTCCTTTCCAGCATAACACTAGCCTTCATTGTCCTTTTATGTACAGGACCTATGCCTATACCACTAACAGGAATATTTACTTCCGGAGTTTTCAGAAATTCCAGCAATGCTTCCAAAGAGCCAAGGTAGATGCTTGCACATAGACCCCTTCCCACTTTTGTCAATCCTACTCATCACTGACTGCATATCTTCCTTGACTGCTTCTTTGAGATCTTCCACATCATCATAGGACCAACGAATAGACACTCGTGCCAGCAATAGCATGCTCAAGGCCCTGCATAATGATATAGCAGTAGATTAATTCATAATTTGTTTACCCAGTTATCAGATGTAATAGAGAAGCAAATGTATAGCTAAGTTCCAATCACCTGTGCAGCGATCTTGATACCCTGTGCTGCTTTGATCTCCTTGTGCTGCATATACGTTCCCTACAATTATCCAACCAAAAAGATCATCATGTTGCACCTTCCACAATTATTCAAAAGAAAAAAAATACGCCTCTTTGAGAAAAAATTCACAAGACTCTGGACTCGTTCAAATTTAAATAATGTAGAACCTACCATAAAACCATGTTAGAAAAAAACAATTTTCTGTCGTCAGAATTAATGAGTAATGCACCATAAAAATTACAGTTACCATGAAAGTTGTTGCCTAACCTCATGGTAATATTCATTCATAATAAGAGAAAACAAAAGACATCATCAATTCATATTAACGCCATTAAATAGCATATAAGAGAATTCTATCAATCTTCAAACATTGATTGTTTCCAATATAACCTGCATCTCTAGCGGGAGTGTTTAAACAGATAGGGGAGAAGGCCCACCAGAAAACCATACCTTCACTCGGATTTCCTTCATTGGGTGAGGTGTCAACAATGCTCTTATATTGGTGACAATAGGCCCCTGAAATTAGGAAATAAGTACTTGAGAATTCAACATCAAGCAAGCCCAAAAATTTTAAGCTAAATGAGAAATTTAAAAGCTTACCTGCAAGCCACAAACCACAATTTGATCTCCTTCATGAAGAACACCATTAACCAACACAACATCAATAGTTGTCCCAGGCCTTCAATAACCTTAACCTCCAAGACCGTACACTGGCAAAATTACAATTTCCATAATGTCTCACACTGCACAATGACGGAATGGTTAATTATTTTTAAATAGAAAGGAAGGAATAAACAAACCTGCACTTCATCACTGAATGTAAGCTTCAACCATTGTTTTCTGGGTCCATTGGACAAGTATAATAATAAATCTGGGATCCCTTCTCCACTGCAACATCAATAACAGAAAATGTTTTGGTCAGAACTCAAAATTGAATTAACATTATTTAGATTGGGAACTTGTAAAGCATCCATGACTAACGTGATTGCACTTGTAGGCACAATGCTGAAAGTTTCACCCATTTCCTTATTTTTGTAGTACAATTCAGTATTCAACCCTTGCTCCTTGAACTGCGTTATAACCTTATATAAAAGATACACACAATTAACAAACTTTCACCAAATTTCTGATAAAATAGAATTAGATGACGAGTTTATATGTGCTTACATAGGTAACTCTCCTATTGAATTCAGAGAGAACATCTTTAGATTGTTTCTTAAGTGTCATCCCAATTGGTGAGTTGCGGCGAACTTTCCAGTCATAAAGTCTGTCTACCTGCAATTTTTAGAAAAGAGCAAAATAATACATAAAGCATCAAAGAAAGGTAAGGAAAACAAGTAAACAACTAATCAGAATTTATCCAGCTTGACCTTATTCAATGCGTAATGAACTCGGTTTTTCTCATTCAAAAGATTGAGTGATTCTATTGTCTGTGGCTCCAAACCGTGCATAATGTCAACAACCAAAATGGCAATGTCGCATAACCTGATCCCCTTGAGCGAAGATTTGTAAAAGATCATGACCAGGGGTATCAATTACTAATAAGCCTGGAACCTTCAATGTGGCATCAGCCTTCAATTCCTTTGTTCTCTCCCGTATGTTATAGCAGGGAAATATGTAGCACCAATCTGTTGTGTAATACCACCAGCCTTTCCTGAACATTAGTGCCACGGATGCAATCCAGCAGCTTCGTTTTACCAGTATCAACATGTCCCATAATGCAGCAAATCGGGGACCGGAGCTCTTCACTCTGCTTAGGAGCATCTGACTTGGAAGATGCT